GAGCTATGCCAACTGTCATCAGCGGAGGATTTCCCCATAGAAAGGGGAGGTGTCACAGCCTCCAAAACCCCATATATATCTGGGAGGGGTAGTGAAGGAAGCAATAAGAGGCTACCTCTTTCCAGCTTACGGCAGCAAGTCTCACTCTAGAATCATCTTTTTGTTGACATTCCTACTGGTGCCAATCTCTCCCCTTCAAAAGGAGTGCAACTGGGGAGTGGGAATTAATGTTGCTTGGAGCATCATTAACTTCTATGCTGTTAAGAGAGGAGCCCCCATCAAATCAAGAAAGAAAAGGAATATGGTGTGGAACTGCTCACCCAGTCATGCCCCTATCCAAATACACCTGCTTCATACACACTCATGGACTATGATGGGTTTGGCACCCTTCAGCTAATGTTAATGGAAGGGAGCACACAGGCCTATGAATTTAGCGTTCTTACATGATTCAGCCCTGGAACCCTCAAAAACAATAGCACCAATTAAAGCATGAAAAATATTGCTGTAAAATAAAAACATTTCCTTCAGAAAACCAAACTGATTGTCTGTGCTTTAGAGCGCAGACAAAGAAATTGTGAATCCAGAAAAGAAAAAGAAAAAAAAGTGTTTTTTCCTATTCCCATTTGTGTTTCAACCACTTAACATCAACATTAACCTAGTATCACTGCAGAACAAACATTTTATTCTTACAGAAGCAGAAGATTCTCAGCATCAAGAGTTGACCACAACTTTAAAAAAAAAAAGATTTGGTTCAGAATGAGCCATAAAAACTTGATAAAGGAGAATCAATCCTATTTCTTCCTATTACAATTTTTATATTTAATAATCCATAGTAAATTCTAATTATACTAGGTAACAGGTTTTATTTAGTCATTGAATTAGTTACCAGTTACAATAAACTATTACATGTAATTACTTGCTACATTACTACTAAGTTGTTATTAAAATTACTTCAAAATATTTGGTAAGTGGGCTTTTTTTTTTTACACTATTAAGCGATTCAGTGTAATTTACCATGTGCACAAAGATTAGTCAAACAAAATCAGACAATAAAATAAAGCTTAATCTTACGAAACACTTCAGCCTTAAACACCTAAAAGCCAACTGAAGCCAAAGCATGGCTAGATGATTGGTACCTGTATCCGAGTTCCCCCTTATAGCAGCCTCTCTTTACATTTAAGATCACAGAACCTAATTTTCAGTCCTTAAAGCAAAGAGGATGTAAAGCCTTTCTATAGCCCCGGCAAACATTAACTTAACCTTTTATAACCAATAAATTGGTTTTATAACAGTCTATAACTAAGCTTAAGGTAGTTCCCAGCATTACTTCCTCAGTGAAATTTACAGGTCAATTATTTTTTTCCCAATTTTTAGTACCAGCGGTGATACCTATTGGTAAGGTCACATGTTGACTGCAATTTCTGATGGAGGAGGAGAACCAGAGGAAATACTGGTGTTATAAACCAGTGCTAGATTTTAGAGAGGGCAGTAGCCATCTGCAGATCATCCATCTATGGTTCTATACATGCCAGACCTATTCTATCATAATTTTTAAGGCACACATTGATTCCATTACTAGAGAATAGTACTGCTTTCCTATAGTAAAAATATCACTATTGTAAAGAGGCCACATACGGCACAGACCCAATTAGCCACCAAAAAAACAACAACAAACAGCTGCACATTTTAAAAATGGAAAAGCAACTTCATGTGTCACTGTACACTGATAGCTAGCGGTTCCAGGAGCAACCTCCTTCCCTCCGCCTCCCCAACCTTCACTGCCAGTAAGACTATTCCTGCCAAAAAGCTGCATAAGAACATAAGAAAGGCTGTACCGGGTCAGACCAAAGGTCCATCTAGCCCAGTATCCTGTCTACCGACAGTGGCCAATGCCAGGTGCCCCAGAGGGAGTGACCTAACAGGCAATGATCAAGTGATCTCTCTCCTGCCATCCATCTCCATCCTCTGACAGACAGAGGGTAGGGACACCATTCCTTACCCATCCTGGCTAATAGCCATTAATGGACTTAACCACCATGAATTTATCCAGTTCTCTTTTAAACTCTGTTATAGTCCTAGCCTTCACAAACTTCTCAAGTAAGGAGTTCCACAAGTTGACTGTGCGCTGCGTGAAGAAGAACTTCCTTTTATTTGTTTTAAACCTGCTGCCTATTAATTTCATTTGATGACCCCTAGTTCTTGTATTATGGGAATAAGTAAATAACTTTTCCTTATCCACTTTCTCCACATCACTCATGATTTTATATACCTCTATCATATACCCCCTTAGTCTCCTCTTTTCCAAGCTGAAGAGTCCTAGCCTCTTTAATCTCTCCTCATATGGGACCCGTTCCAAACCCTTAATCATTTTAGTTGCCCTTTTCTGAACCTTTTCTAGTGCCAGTATATCTTTTTTGAGATGAGGAGACCACATCTGTACGCAGTATTCGAGATGTGGGCGTACCATCGATTTATATAAGGGCAATAATATAGTCGTCAGTCTTATTCTCTATCCCCTTTTTAATGATTCCTAACATCCTGTTTGCTTTTTTGACACTGAGTGGACATTTTCAGAGAACTAACCACGATGACTCCAAGATCTTTTCCCTGACTTCTTGTAGCTAAATTAGCCCCCATCATATTGTATGTATAGTTGGGGTTATTTTTTCCAATGTGCATGACTTTACATTTATCCACATTAAATTTCATTTGCCATTTTGTTGCCCAGGCACTGGGGGAAAGATGGGGGGGTGATGTCTCCCCATGACTCAGATACAGGACTGAGTGATGTCTCCCTATGGCTCTGTACAGGGGCTCAATGCTGTTGGGAGGGGGTGACCCCTTGGGGGCACCCTGCATGAGGGCTGGGGCAAGGCTCCTGAGCCATTTTGGGGGGGCTTCATTGCCCCAGCAGCGGCTGGGGCTTGCTATCACCACATGACCCCTTGTCTACAGGGAGGAGGGCCCTGCCAGGGTTGGCTCCAGCCAGGCTCAGCCCAGCTGAGCGGATCCAGGGTACACCCAGAGGGCAAGGGGAGGAGAAGACTGCCCTTTGCCAGCTGACTTAGAGTCCCTCGGCCTTGGAGCATGTGACCTCCTGGTGAGGGGAGGCCAGGGCACATGGGGTCACACAGCCACTTGCTTGTGAGCTCACATTCTGAACCACTCACACCCACATGCACTGCCACACCTGTGAAGGGCCCTGTTCGTTGGCCTGGGTACAGTGGTGGCATTTTCTGTATCAATCCTTCGGTTTAAGAGTTTCTCTCTCGGGGTCTGCCTGGTCCACACAGCTCTGCTTGAGTTCAGACAGCAATGCTGGGCTGTCCTGGGGCCGGGTACCCCGGAGGACAGACTAGATGGCCTTGGAGTCTGTGTAACACAGGCAGGAAAGAGGCGGTGACTCAACAGAGGCGCCTGGCAGCTGACGCTGAAGCAGCTAGAGGACAAGGCCCGCACTAGCTGTGCAGCTGTGGTTGGCTCAGGCGCCTGGCAGTTTATCAAACTGGTTTGACAAGGAAGGGCCCAATCCTGCCAGGGAAGGACACTGTGTGATTAAGACGGGCTTGGGGGTACCTGATGCAGATTCGGAGCCTGCTGGGGGCCTGGAGAAGAGAGGCCCAGCTAGACGGCCAACGGGGGGGGTGCATCTGCATTAGGAAAGAGGTGTGGCCTTCACTTGCCTTAGCCAACCCCTAGTGACACACTCCCGGTCGCATCCTAGAGCAGCCCAGGCAGCTGCAGCTTCCACAGCGCCTCAGGGCGAGGTGACGACTCTGGGGGGGCCTGGGCTCCGCTCAGCTTGCGACCTGGTGTAGAAACTGCAGCTGGCTGCGCCACCATAGGATTTACCCCTCAGGATCTGAACACCCCTATTCCCCAAGGGACGACAGACATCAGTACAGGCCCTGGGTGGGTTACAACCCTCTATTCTCTGATACTCGGCCGCAGAAGCGGGTGCTGGCTGAAGGGGCTCTTGGTCATGGGGAAGATACACCAGCATGCGGCTGGACCTGTAGAGTAATAAGGGGTGCTGTGGCAGTGGTTCTGCTTGCTCAGAGAGCGGCAGAATGGCAGGATTCCACCTGAGTCAGGTGAAGACAAAAAGTCTGAGATGGGGCAGCGATGCAGCTCGCCCTTTGAACCAGCAACCCCCCAGTACACTGACACGTACACACACCTGCAAGTGTGTGCACGCCTATACACCCCTGCATGTGTGCACACACCTTCACACTCCTTCATGTGTGCACACACCTGCATGTGAGCACACACCTACACACCCCTGCATGTGACCATGCACCTTCACACTCCTTCATGTGTGCACACACCTGCATGTGAGCACACACCTACACACCCCTGCACGTGACCATACACCTTCACACTCCTTCATGTGTGCACACACCTGCATGTGAGTACACGCCTACACACCCCTGCATGTGACCATACACCTTCACACTCCTTCATGTGTGCACACACCTGCATGTGAGCACACACCTACACATACCTGAATGTGCGTGCATGCCTATATACACCTGCATGTGGGCACACACTCCTGCATGTGCGTGCATGCCTACACACACCTGAATGTGTGCACTTGTAATGCCAAGGGACCCCAGTTGTCGGCGGGCGGGATCGAACCTGGGACCGCTGGAGCTTAAAGCATGAGCCTCTACCGCATGAGCTAAAAGCCACCTGGCTGTTAGTTAAAGCAGTAGAGCAGACTCATTAAGCTCTCTCTTTAAGTGGTCTCGGTGCCACTCGATGGGACAGACCACCACACCCAGGAGGTGTGTGGGTTACACACACACACCTACACACCCCTGCATGTGAACACACACCCGCATACATTCATGCTTATACACACATGCTCATACACACAGTTGCCTGTGGTTGCCCACCTACGGACACACGCACAGGGGCATGCACTGCTTTCACTTTAACTTGCTCTGCTGGAACAAACCAGCCAAGCAAAGCCGATTATCTCCAGAGCCCCGTGTGTGTCTGACGCTTCCTGCCTGGCCCTGGGCCTTTCACAGTCACAGGGAGAAGTGCCAGCCCCACGCCCAGGGCTGAGGTGATCATCATTCCATGGGAGCAGGGCCAAGAGGGTTCTTACTACAGAGAGCAGCTTGAGTGCCCAGGGGAATTCCTGGGGCAGAGAGTGGGGCTAGTGGGTGCAGGGGAGCTCCCTGGACAGGTCAGGGAAGGCAGCAGTTCAGGAATCCCTGGGGAAGTCCTGACTGGGGCAGGGAGCTGGCTGAGATGATATTAGCTGTGCAGTGAACGGGAGACGCGCCGTTGCAGTGAAGTCATCGCAGATTTCTCATGCAGTCCCGGCTAATCACAGGATATATAAGAGCCACCGGAGCCTCCTACTGCCTGGGGCCTCCAGAGCAATCAGATTAACGGAGAGTGTCCGGCTGCGGGGAAAAGGGGCCCGTGGAAGCTCAGCACCAGGTAAGTGCTGTTCATTAGAAGGGGATGATGAAGATTGGATCAAGTCTCCTTTCTTCTCCTGCCCATCTCAGACTCTTTTCTGGGACCGAGTGGAGCTGGAGCAGTGATCCCTCCTGGAGGCTGGGCACCCAGGCCTGGGCAACGTGCCACACACAGGGGGTCTCCATAGCTTGGTACAATGCCAGGACCTTCCCATGCCCATAACACCTCAGCTCACCACTGGACAGAGTGCTCCCCTCCCCACAGCACGGTTTGGTTAGGATGGGCGCCTGCCGCAGTCCTGAGCTTTCAGCTTTTCTCTGTCACGGTGGCCTGGGGTGACCCACTCCCCCATGTCTACCTCAGCTCCCCCATCTGGGCAATGCAGACCAACAAGGAGGATCCTCTCCCTGGGCCATGCGGATTCCTTGGCTAATCCTCATGCGGTGTCGTGACCATGCCAGGAGCTATGTGTATGCTAAGAATCGTCACTGCCCAGGAGAGCTGAGCTCCATTCCTGGCTCTGCCACCAACTCCTTGGGTAGCCTGGACTGAGTCATTTCCCCTCTCTGGGCTCAGCTGCCCCCCGCCCTGACCTGTTACTGGTAGGTGCCGGTACTGACCCAGGCCGCCGAGCACCATGGAGCAAAGAGACCAATTTTATCAGTAAATCAGATCCCCTGGCCGCCCGCTGCCTGGGTCACCTCTTCCCTCAGGTGACATGAGTCATTGCTGACCCCGGGGGGGGGGGGGCAGCCACACAAGCCATGTGGATGGGCATCTCCCAGGAATCTTGCCTGGGTCTTTTTTCCCCTAGTGCCTGCTTTACCCTCAGGGTCCATCCGCGCAGAAGTTTCCGCCCAAGCTAATGCACTAACAGCAGCAGTGTGGCTGTGGCAACACACACACACACACACACACACACACACCTACCTACTTACCTCTTTGGCAAGTCATTGGTTTCTCTTCCCCAGGCAGGGAGGACGAACCCGTCTGACCAGGCTGGGTTGATCCGGGGCTAAGGGTGCTGGGTGACAGAGGTGGGCGGTGGCTGCGGGGTGGGACTGTCACTTCCCCCTCTGCCCGTCCAACAGGATCACAGCAAACAAAACCAGCTCAACCCGCAGGGGAAGAGTTCAGTCCAGGGCCTGGTGCATTCTGGGAGCAGGGACAGTAGAGAGAAAGGGCAGATACAGAGCAGCTCTGAACACTCTGCACACAACGGCCTGCCCTGCCCTGAAACCCCTGCTATCCCAGCCCTGAGCATCCCAGTCACCCCTCTGCCGGTGCCCCTCAATCCCACCCACAGCCCCTGCTATCCCAGCCCTGCCCCCCCAGCTCTTCTAGTGCCCCTCACACCGACCCGCAGCCCCTGCTATTCCAGCCCTGAGCCCCCCAGTCACATCTCTGCTGGTGCCCCTCACTCCCGACCCGCAGCCCCAAGCTCTCTCATCCCTGTCCTGTTTTCCTCCCTCCCACCTCTGCCCCTGCTGTGCTACGGCTCCAGCGGCACAGTTTGGCCCTGCTCATTTCCCTTCAGGAGCTGCCATACCAGCACACAGAGCCTGGCGCGTGGTGAATGGGAAAGCGCCCACCTAGCCCACCGAAAACTCAGCACGTCCTTCCAGCACAGCAAACAGTCGCCGGGGCAAAGGTGGAGGGGAACAGACCAGGGCAGGGTTCCTCCTGGGTGGGGGTCTGCTGTCCCCGCCCGCCGAGGCCCCCATGGCAAATGTTGCCCCTTGCCCATCCCCTCACACCACTGGGGGCCAAGTGCTCAGAGCAGGAAATCGGGGTGAGCCCAGGACAAGGACGATGGGATTGTCCCAGGCCAGGAGGTTCAGCTGGAGTTCAAGGAGTTCTACACCGGAGGGTGTGGGTGCGGGCTGTCTTGATCAGTCTGTACGCACCGACCTGGGCAGCAGTGATTTATCCCTGGGCCCTTCAGCAGGGGTCTAGCAGCAGCCAGAGGCTGGGCTCGGAAGCTAGACAGACCCAGACTGGAAATAAGATGCAAATTACTAACATTGGCACAGCCTAGCCGGGCCACAGGGACTCCCCAGCACCAGGGATTTTCAATCCAGCCTGGCTGATTTCCGAAGATCTGCTCTAGTCCCAGCTGGAATTGTCAGGGGAAAGGTCTCCGGCCTGTGCTGGGGGAGGGGGCAGGCTAGAGGATCTCCGCAGCCCCCCTCCACTGTGAGTGTCCCTGACTGTGCTCTGGAAATCCGCAGCACCTGCCTTCCCTTAGCGAGGGCCTGGTCACTCTAGAATCTCTTCCCCCTTGCCATCCGGCATTCCAGCACCATGCCAGGGTCAGTGCTGGGGAGCCCCACCAGCCCCAGGCAGCCAGTGCTGAGCCATTCGTACCAGGCCAGAGCTCTCCTCAGGAGCCCCTTAGCCACCGAGATCCAGGGCTGACTCCCCAGGGAGCCACCCAGCCCCGGAGCCCACTTCCCATCTGGAGCCCACAGCCCAAGCTCCCTCCCCTGCCAGGGCCGGCTCCAGGCACCAGCTGAGCAAGCTGGTGCTTGGGGCGGCAGATTGTTGGAGGCGGCATTCTGCCCAATCCTAGGTCAGCATGGCCGCTTTTGTTGTTCTTGTTCTTGTTCTTGTTCTGCTCTGGCCGCCCTGTAGGGGGCGGCGGCGCGGAGAACCAGAGCAGTCCTCTTCCTTCCCGGCCCGCTGACCAGAGTGGAGCCTTCCACTCCCCCCAGCCGGTCCCCCTGCACCCGTGCTCCAGCCGCGCCACAGGTTTTTTTTTTTTTCTTTGCCGTTCTGGCCACCCCGTTTTTTGTTGTTGTTGTTTTTGTTTTGCTTGGGGCGGCCAAAAAGCCAGAGCCGGCCCTGTCCCCTGCAGTGAGTGGGGGCTCAGCCCCTCATGGAGACATGTCTACACTAGGTGTGAGCTGTCTCCTCTGGCTCCAAGGGCGCAGGAAACCCAACCGAGCCCGCTGACCGCCGACCCTGGCAGCAGTGCACAGACGGGCACATGGCCAAGGCTTATGCAGGGAGACCTGGTGAGCTGCAGAGCCATTGGCAGCCCAGCCCTGCTGTGCCCGCTGCCCGCATGGGTGAGAAGTACATTTGGGACCTGCTTCATGTGTGCCACCCAGGGCACAAGCTGGGGCAGCATCCCCATCTCTTGGTGTAGCCTTTCCAGGGGTCCCAGCTGCCCCTAACTGGCCCTCGTCTGTTTGCTTTCAATCAGATCTGTTCATGAACTCTCCCCTTGAATTGCATCTATCACTCCTTCAACCTCCAGGGCTTGCAGTCCCTATCTGTCACACACACATGCACACACACACACATGAACATACTCATGCATACCCCCACACAGGCTCGCACGTACACTTGTGCATGCTTACGCACATACACGTGCACAGGCACACGTGCACACACACACACCCACACACACACACACCTTTCTGCTTCTCTCCCCCCTTCTGTTCTTGCCTGTTTAGAGCAGGTCTGGGTTTCTCTCTTGGTCACACCTGTGGGTGCCTGTCTCCATAGCTGACAGGTCAGACAGTTGTCCTGGGTTTGATCAGCCTGCTCACCTGCACACAGGGGGACTCTCCTCACCCATCTGCCTGTGCTCTGTGGGGTTTGTAAATCCCAAACAGCCAGGTTCTCCCTCTCCACCCACCACGTCCTCTGTGGGCCACACCAGGGTTGAACTGGGGCGCCAGAACTGAAAGCAGAGCTGCTCTGACTGGAGCTCATGAGCCAGGGGTCCCTGGCTGGGGCTGGACAGCACCTGCCCCCACCCCCTGCCATGGCTACTTGGTGGCCAGGGGTAGATATTTCCCTGAAGCCCCAGGTAAGATGCTCCATCTTGCTCTGGCTTGCCTGCATTCTTCGCTCTGCAGAGACTAAGAGTCACCACCCTGAGGTGACACAGGTTCAGCTGGGTACTTCCCCCTCTGGCCTCCTGCCAATCCCCTGTGGGGGCTCACTGCATCCCATGGTGCCCTCCTGCCTCCTGAGTTACTCCGGGTGTGCAGGCAGCAAGCCTGGGGCCTCCAGAGCAACAGGAAGTGATGGGATGGGAAGGGGCAGTGAGCCCGGTGGAAGAGGGACAGGAGGGGACAGGGTAGGCTATGGCAGAGGGATGGGAGGGAGGGGCAGGAAGCATTGGGGCAGGGGGACAGGAGGGGGCGGGGAGCTCTGGGGCAGAGGGACAGGAGGGCTGGGGTGGGCTGGGGCGGAAGGGACACTCTGGGGCACATGACTTATGAGGAGAGGCTGAGGGAATTGGGCTTGTTTAGTCTGCAGAAGAGAAGAATGAGGGGGGATTTGATAGCTGCTTTCAACTACCTGAAGGGGAGTTCCAAAGAGGATGGAGCTCGGCTGTTCTCAGTGGTGGCAGATGACAGAACAAGAAGCAATGGTCTCAAGTTGCAGTGGGGGGAGGTTTAGGTTGGATATTAGGAAACACTATTTCACTAGGAGGGGGGTGAAGCACTGGAATGGGTTACATAGGGAAGTGGTGGAATCTCCTTCCTTAGAGGTTTTTAAGGCCAGGGTTGACAAAGCCCTGGCTGAGATGATTTAGTTGCTGTTGGTCCTGCCTTGAGCAGGGGGTTGGACTAGATGGCCTCCTGAGGTCTCTTCCAACCCTGATCTTCTATGATTCTATGACAGAAGGGGCAGGGAGCCCTGGGGCAGAGGGACAGGAGGGGGCAGGGAGGGATGGGGCAGAGGGACAGGAGGGGGTAGGGAGGGGTGGGGTGGAAGGACAGGAGGGGATAGGGAGCACTGGGGCAGAGGTAAGGGGGGCAGGGTTCCCTGGGGGCGGAGGGACAGGAGGGGGCAGGGAGGGCTGGGGTGGAGGGACAGGATGGGGCAGGGAGCCCTGGGATGGAGGCAGGAGCGGCGCCAGGGTTTTTGCCACCCTAGGCGGCAGCGCTCCTCCTCTGAGCATTCGGTGGCGGGGGTCCTTCTACTCCGCGTCTTCGGGGCACTTCGGCGGCGAGTCCAAGAGCGAGTGAAGGACCCACTGCCGAATTTCCGCCAAAGACCCAGAGCGGAAGGACCCCCCCACTGCCGAATTTCCCCCGAGGATGGCAAAATGCCGCCCCCAAATTCTGCCACCCTAGGCAATCGCCTAGTGGAAGCGCCGGCCCTGGGTGGAGGGATGGACTGGGGGGTTGCCAGGGAGACGGGGCAGTGCACTCTGGACAGGATGAGCAAGTCTGTGGGCAGCCAGGAGGGGGCGCTGCAGTGACTTTGCTGCTCGCTGGCTGTGTTCTGGAGCCTGAGCCATCCCTCGGAGACATGCTCTGGGGCTAGGGGGATCTCTGTGTTTGCGGAAGGCTGTGGGGCTGCAGATTCTCACGTGGGGTCCGCGGCGAGGCTGGGCCATCCTGTCCCATGTGTCACTCACTCTCCAACCAGCCCCTGAGTGCTGAGGGGCAAGCTCAACTCCAAGGTGAAGGGGCAAAGTCTGGGAGTACACAGGGTGCAGCAGCCCTGGGGACGGAGACTTTGACACCCGTCTATTGATTTTTCCTTTGTCCCTGTAGGGAGCCGTGCGGCTCGCTCGGTCCTAAGACCAGGAGACTAGCGCTGCCCTTGGAGAAGATGGGCCAGACAAAGCTGTGGTTCCTCGCTGGGCTGCTGGGTCTCTGCACGTGGCCGGAGCCTGGCAAAGGTAGGCGCATAGCCAGAGTTGCTCTGCAGTGGGGAGACCTGTGTGGTTGCTAGAACAGCTCAGGTGAGGTGAGAGGCTGAAAGGGATGGGAATAAAACCACAGCTTTCCTTTCGGATACTAGCCCAGGTCACAGGGAAGAAATGGGGAATCTCATCCTGGTGGCTCTTTGCCTCCTGCCTTTCATTCAGCTCCTGCACTGGAGCCAGAGGGGTCGGTTTCATGCTAGCTTAGAGCTGCCATGACGAATGCCACCAACCCTGAGGAGTGTTTGTGTGACTGGGGAGTGAAATTGCATCCGTCCTTTCCTGATCGTCCCTAGGGGCTCAGGGTGAGCGAGGGGGCTGGGGGCCAGCAGGTTCGGGGCCTAGGACAGGCTTCTAATCCACTTCTAGTCAATTTCTCTCCTAGGCTCTCATGTACCCCCAGATCAATGTTTGGACTGGGAAGGCTGCAGGGGATCGCACAGCCACCCCCACACGGTCAGAAATCACGAGTCTGATCCCCTAAATCATGAGATTTAGAAGAAACAATACATTCCGAGTGCTGATTCTTTGTGTTCTGGTTTTGGAGCCATTGGGGTCACACTGGGGTCACCTCTGTTGGCAGGAGAGCTAGAAACTCACCTTTGTTTATAATGACAGCTGAGATTCTGGCCTAATCCCAGGACTGCAGAAGCTGGGTCTTTAAGTAAAAGTTCCGCTCTCAGCAGGCTCTCGGTAGGCCCCCAAGCATGGGAACGCTCACTGGGGGATGTTTGATCAACGTGAAATCTAGTCAGTTTAAACCTAGTTTGTGAAGATCTAGCTACCTCGCTCGCTGAGGTACTTGGGGGCCCCGTTACCGGCGTGTCTGAGCACCTCTCCATCTTTAACACATGAACGCTCACGCAACCTGGGGCAGAGCTATCGCGCAGTTTGAGAGATGGAAACTGAAGCGAAACAAGGGTACGTCTACACTGGGGCTGGAGAAGTAGACCTCCTGTTTTGCCCCAAAATACCCAACCAACCAGCCAGGGGAAAGTGACCGTATGGAGCACAGAGTGAAAGTGACTCGTTGCAACCTGCTGCCTAATGATCAAAGGACCTAGCTGGGAAAGAGAGGAAGTGTGGTGGGGGTGGCTGGGGTGGGATTTATTCCCTCCAGTCTCTCTGAGTGAGTGGGATCTCAGGGGTCACCTGGGACGATAGCAGGGGATGCCAGGCGTACAGGAGTGGGGGGTTCACATTGTCCTGTCTCTCTTAAGTGTTATGTTTCTTCAAACTATTTTACAAAACAACCCTAAATCTTCAGCCTCGGAGTTGGGCAGCGCCAGTGTTTGTGCTCTCTACACAGCATTAGCAATACAGGGACCCCACATTGGCAGAGTGGGATCCCAAACAGCCATGTGTGTTAATGATGTATAAACATCCGGCCCAGCCACCTGTGTGCTGGACTGCTTGGGCAGGGGTCTGGCTGGCTTCTGCAACAGAAAGATATAGGGATGCCACTCCAAACTATTAAAGGGACACTACCCAATTCCTGTACACTACATACTCTTCCTCCTTTAGTGTGAAAGGGAAGGCCAGAAAGAATTACCAATGTATTACTATCAGTAATACACTCCATGCTACAAATTCCTGCCAACTGCAAAGGAATCCAAATAACACTCCAGGTATTGTCTTCTAAGCCCCTGGGGAGGTACTCCAGCATCCTCGGTGCACTCCACATTGCCAGCAGCAAGCTGAATCTGAAATCGTCTGCTGCTGCTCTTGTCACCTGGGGGCAGCATGTTTTGCCCTGACCAGCACATCTTCTGTGAGTGCCCCAATTTTCTTGCAATTCCAGCAGAGTGTGTCCTTGAGCCAATCACTTGTATTGCAAGACAGTTTGTGACAGCGAAAGCAAACAGCTTTCCAGTGGACTCTCTGAGTTGTGCTCTCTGCTTGACCCCCAGTGTATCTGTGGCACAGATCACTTGATGCTGTTGCAACTCTGTGGCATCTTTAGTAGCCACCTCCATTGATGCAGCAATTTCTTGGGCACACCCTACAGCCAAATCAGCCTGCCAATCTCCGGGTTTGGATTGCTTCACACACACTGATCAGTCCTGGGTTGCCTCATTTCAACTGTCTCTAAACTGGCAGCGCTCTGTTAATTTCCTTAATGCATGAGCTTTCCCTTTAGAGCATGCCAACAGGTCACATGGGGCAGTTGGAGCCCAACACGTTAGAGCAGTTCACACCCCTCAGTCCGGACCGCAGCGCCATGTGGACAAGCCCTCAGTCAACTGCCACAATAGCAACGGTTGTTCTGTGCTGTTCCAGTCCCTCAGCCCAGGTGGCCCAGAGCGCGACTGAGCTCCCAGACTAGCCTGTTTTCCCCGATAGCACCCATCCCTGAGAGTGCAAAACTTCCCGACTTGGGCTGCCCGTTGCTTAGCCTAGTGAGCAGTGCAGGAGCAGGGATCTGACAGCCTCTCCTGCTCCTCCCCTCCCAGGCTCCCTCCCGTTTCACATGAACTCCGTGATCCAAGTCGTAGAAGTGCTGGAATCTCACCACCTGGACGGACACCTCAACCTGACCGTGACGGAGCTCGCCCGGGGCCTGGGCTGCTGTGACAGCGAGTTCTACCAGCTCCTGCTGGGGGAGGCACCTGCCGTGCCCCCGGATCTGCCCTTCCTGAGCCAGGAGCAGAGATCCTTCCTCATGCGCGTCCTGAAGCACAAAGTCCAGGCGTCCTCGACTGAGCAGGGGGTGGTGTTGCTCCCTGATGGCACCACAGTGGCTGTAAGCCCCTTGGTGGCTGGGATTGAAGCAGGGCTGAAGGGGAGGCGGGAGATGCCGCTGCCCCCCGAGGCTTTGGAGCCTTTGCTAGTTACGACTGAGCCCTTGAACCAGACACATCCGGGGCTGCCCCTGACTATAGACGCCCTCTACGCAGTGACCATTGCCAAGGCATTGGGCGTGGCCTTTCTCCTGGCTCAGGCCAACAAGAGCCAGGTGCTCATGGGGCCGAATGGCTGCTGGGACAGCGTGTCCC